TTGTAAATGTGCATAATAAAGTCGTGAGATCTCTTTAAAAAAAATTACATTTCTGTAATTTAAAAAAAAAACACCAAAATAAACTACATCATATTAAACGGTGGTATTAGCACTAACCGTTCGAAAAGTCTGAAGAAAAAAATTGCAGCCGTTTTTGAGAAAATAGCGTTCGAGCGTTTCTGAAAATGCGGAATTTTGAGCTAGTTTTCACACAAAACGGTTGAGTTTTTGAGAAACTTAATCGACATTATTTTAAGTACATGTACAAAAGGGAGACAACAAATTTTATTTGAAAAAAAATCTCCATCTTCAGTTCTGTTCTTCGGAAAACGCCGAAAAATATTCAAATTTTGAAAATTCAGAGTTAACAGTGGAAATAGGACCTATGCCACCTTTAAAGATGTATTTTACTTCATTCTTAGAAGAAATTTAAAGAAAAAAAATTAGAGCCATTTTGAAAAAATGTTGAAAATGTCCAGGGGACTTCATGTAAAGTACTCCCAAATAATTAAGTTTTTCAAAATCTCAAATCTTCGACTCGACCCACATGGACAGGGGTTTCTTCACTTTGGAAAAAATTCTACGCATGGTTTTGGCGGTAGTGGTGTTCACAGACGGGCGGACAGGTTGAAAACAATTTTTTCGGTATCAGGGGACCCCAAAACGTGTTTTACCATTTAAATTTCGAAATATATTTTGCGCATATATAACTTTCCCTATATTACTCCGTACATACGTACGTATACGGAAACGTAAAATGTACCTTGGGCGGCGATAGATGGAAGTTCGCGACAATGTGTGGCAAGTCCGACTTGTTAGCTCAGACCAAAGAAAATAGAAAACTAAAACGAGAAATTCTTTATTACCACTAGTTACTTTCTCGCATACGTAGGTATATTCCGAATAATATGCGGGACATTTTTGGGACGAAAAATTCATTACTTTCTCGCATACGTACGTATATTTCGAGTGATACGAAGGTTGCCTTTTATGTTTCGGGGTTTGGCAACTCTGGTGTTGTAATCTGGCAACGGACAGCTCTATCGTAAAGCTGGATGTTTTAAGGTTATACGTACTCGGAACGTTTTGACATACGAGCGCTATTTGTGTTGTTTACAGTAACTTAAAGATTAATCTTGGCCAAAAATGGAATTAAATCGTGAACATTTTCTTGCGATTATTTCTTTTACAACTTTCAACGTGGATTAACTCAGCAACAGTGCATGGATGAACTTAATTCAATTTTTGGCGATGAAGCTCCATCAAGGACCAGTGTTTATCGATGGTATGGTGAATTCAATCGTGGTCGTAGTCCAAAACGAATTTCGCGAGGTCATCCACAATCAGTCGTTCCGAAAACCATTGATGCTGTGCGTGAACTGATATTGCAATATCGTCATGTGACCTATCGTAAGATTGAGACCTTAGGCATTAGTGGGATCAGCATGCATTCAATATTGCATGAACATTTAACTGTCAACAAAATTTGTTCGCGTTGGGTCCCACACAATTTGTCAATCGCTCAAAAAAAGACTCGTGTCGATTGGTCAAAAGAAATGCTCAAAAAATACGATCGCCGGTGCTTCGAACTACGTCTATTGACATCATGACCAGGTTGATGAATCTTGGATTTATGCGTATGAGCACGAAGTAAACAGCAGTCGACTGTATGGCATGTTTCAAAGATGAGCAAAATCCCAGCGAAAAGTTGTTCGCGCACGAAGCTTTTCAAACAGATGGTCGCCTGTTTTTTCGAAAAAACGGGACATGTCCGTAACCCGTACTACTAGAACAAGCAAACAGACAATCAGAGTGGTACCACAAAACGATTTGTTTGCCAGCCGCTCTTCCAAAAAAAGCATTCAGGAAACCAACCACCGAAGACGGACTCACTCTGTCACCACGACAATGCCAGTCTCACCATACTCGTTTCAAAACAAACTGCCAGTTTTTGAAGCCACCCAAAACATCGCATTTGATGAATCATCCGCCGTATAGTCCTGACTTGGCACCGAATGACTTCTTTTATTCCCGTACGTAAAAAACAAACTGACAGGTCATACCGTTGTTTCGACACCTGAAGAAGCCGGTTGCTGCATTCAGAATGCATGTTTTGGAGATACCTCAGAGTGGCAAAAATGCTTCGACAATTGGTTCAAACGCATGCAAAAGTGTATAGATCTTCATTGGGAATATTTTGAAAAACAATAAATTGATTTTCGATGATTAATATTTGTTTTTGTTCTCTCATCCTGAAATATTATAGGCAACCCTCGTATGTAGGACAATATCAGGGACATTTTCACAATTTTCTTAAAATAGCACCAAATTTTTTCTTAAAATTTCTGTAAGAGAAGGCAAAAATGAGGCATAAGTCTGATTTCCACCGTTAACCCTGCATTTTCCAAAGTTGCAATTTTTTGGCATCTTCCTACAAAATTGAAGATATTTTTTTTTCTTCAAATAAAATTTGTTCTCCATGTTTGGTTTTTTCGATAAGGCTATGTGCTGAGGCGCGTAATATAGCTTACAATGTGAACTATTTAAAAAAAATAACAATAAACAATATTTTCTGAAAAGGGCAGCAATTTTTTTTCTTTTAACTTTTGGTAGTGCCAAAAGAACTACATAAGATGACGCCATTTTGCACTGTACTTTTTTTCAAAAATTAGGAATATGTAATTCTTATGGCTAGCCCCTCACATTGTTAATATTTACATTAGCAGAGATTTCTTCAGATTATTGCATTTACGAGTACATGTGTCTCAAATTGTCTTATACAGTTTCTCGACAACTCAAAACTTTTCAGTTCAAAATGCTGTGTTTTCAGAAACCCTCAAACTCCATTATCTAAAAAGTGGCAACTATTTTTTTCTTAATTGTCAAAAATTACACAAATGTATTTTTTTTTAAATATCTTTCATGCCATTTACATTCACATTTCCAGTGACTTGTATACATTATTGCATTAGTGAGTGGAAGTGCTACAAATGGCTTTCGTTGAAGATTTTCAAAACACAAATGATTCCTGCAAAAAAAGGGTTTCAAATTTTGCATGTACACTAGAGATTAAACTATTTTTTTTAAAAAGGTTTCAAATTTTTGAACAAAAATGTTCATATACGACGAGGTTTTACTCTTCTTTAATATTATAAAAGTAATGTGTCAGTTCTTCCATTAGGAAATTGAAAAATTGAGAAAACTTATAAAAAAAATAAAAATAATTTAGGCAGTGATAGATGGCAGCTGGCAAGAAAATGGGGCACGACCATAAAGCTAGCTCCCACCAAGTGATATTAGAAAACTTTACAGCGAGAAAGTCTGTGCCATATCGTAACATCAAGAGTCTCTTTTAACTTTTTGTACAGATAGTACAAAATCCTGAAGAAAACAAAGGTCTGAATAACATGACAAAAACTCCTTTTTTATACATTTGTTCGATTTTGAAAATTTATACCAATGCATTTTTTTAAAAAAACAACTCCAAATTATTCAATGAAAATTTGCATTTATCATGAAGTTTTTTATACTTCTATAATATTTTTAAAGTTATGATTAAATTTCACTAAGGGTAAACAGAACAAATGGAGAAAATGAGAAAAAATATCTCTTAAGCAGTTATACGTGGCAGAGAAGAGGGTGGTCTAAACCAAAAGCCCAAAGGCTAAAGAGATTTAGAAATAAGTTTGTGGAATTAGTTTTCAAGTTATAAAAGATGCAATTACAATGTTTTTTCTTCTCTGCTTTTCCATCTCTATAGTCTGAAGTTACATAGTTTTAAAGGCACCATACAATAAAAACTTGAAGTGAGTATGAATAATCTGAACATGTTTACAATAATGAATCAGGCGCCAGTCAAGATGGCCGAGATCATTAGGGCAGTAGTGCTGTAGCGGTCTCGGACCAGAAGACCGTGGGTTCGAGTCCCGCCTCAGTCATGGGTGTACTATTTATGTGTCTATATGTGTGTGCCATCCTTTCGTCCTTTGCTATCATCTCATCATCCATATCCTCAGGGCTAGTAACCTTGGGAATAAAAATCGAGATTCAGCTAAAATGCTGATCCCACCAGGCAAAGGTACTTGCACCTGTTGAAGCACGATGCACATGTGGTATTATGTGCTTCCTATTAAAAAGTACACTTAAATAATAATTGTGTAAATTAAACATGGTACTCGTACAATACCCCCGACTTAATTCGAAAACCAGAGATTGGACGTAAAATCGCATCCAAGTCAGATTCAGAGAGGTGTCAACTCTACATAGTGATGTACAGTGTGCCAGCGAAGTCTCTCCACAGTGGTACTTTCCTGGTAATAGTACTTATAAAAGAAATGATGGTTTTAGCACAGGCAACAGCTTGAATACATTAATTGTGTACTCACCACAAACATAATAGATGCAGGAAGTGTTGTCCACTTGTTTCTCAGATATTTGGTTACTACCAACATAAATTTAGTTTGCAATAGGAGGTCCTGATTTGGCTCAGTAGGGAGACTTTCCTGGTGCACCGTATTTGAAATTGAATATTAATAATTTTCTTGGGGGCTAACAAACCACCCTATAAAATCCACTTCTGAAAAGCACAATGGAAGTACTATAGTTTCTGCACATTCATAAAACGATTTGCTATCACAAATTGTCCTTGCAAGACGTCTCTGTGCTTAAGACTTAACTTTCTAGCTGATTGATTTTGACCTCCATACAATGACATGATAATTGTATCATTACATAATTTTTTGACATAAAAATATCAGTACCAAACACAGTCATTTTATCACTGAATTTCAAGAACTTATCTCCAAAAATGTAGAAATACTCTTCCAGAAACAACCCTGCACCTCAGTGAAAGTTGAGAATCTGCTGCACTGTTCTTTTCACATTATTCTGAGGAAGGCACTAGTGTGTGGGTGTGGACTGTCAAGAGCTCTTTTATTCTATTGCTCTCATTGTGTACATGAAAGCAGTGCAGTAATTTGACAAAAGGGAAGACTCATTATCCTGACTATATAATCTTCACATAAGCGCCCAAGTACACTCATAATTTTCATTTTTTAAACTCATTTCTTAATCACATACTTTCAGTTTAAAGCGTGTATTTAGGCATCAAATGGAAGTTTAAAGCCTTAATATACTTGTTAACAACTTGTTTAATCAGAGTTCACTAGATAGCATGCAAATAATATTTAATTTATATAAAATTATAATTTGTACATCCCCCCGTGGCTTGAGCCTAGTGAGCTAGCTTTCCACAACACAACCCTGACAGATTCCCAGAATTGTGTGTATATATACACATGCACGCATGCACTCAACACAAATCTTATTTATTAACTTTTGTATTAAATTAATATAATTACAAATTAAAAGGTTTTTATTCCCAATTTTCCCATATTCCTACATATGTATGAATATACACTATGTATGAATTGAGCGAGTAAACTCAGACTTCAAAAAGAAGCGTTTCTTAACTTCCTATTGCATTAAAATATTTTTTAAGTTTTAAAAATGATTGTTGTCAGCCCTGTCTATTAACAGTACACACAAAATAAAATTCAAATAAAAATTGTAAATGTTTGGACCAACTTTATAATCGATAAGTTGTAAGTGGTTATAATGCATTGTGTACTTCGTACACAATGTTTTTCAACACTATGGTATTGGTGTCCATCTACCAGGTAAATAGTGCTACATTTGCGTAAAGGGCACCTTAACTCAGATTTATTTTTGAGTTGTCTGTCAAGTTGAAAGAGGTAAAGATGTAAGATAACTGGTAAACATATAATATATACTTATATTATTATTTTTCCACTTAGAAGAGTTAGCCTGTAATAGACAAAACTCTATATCCCCACGTTTCAAAAAGGACACTTCTATAATCTTTATTTCATAGTTTTACTGTGCTTCAAAAATGTTGAGGGGAAAAACATTTTACTCAAAAGGGAGATCCATATAAATTATGAAACTATTTTATGTATGGTTTTATTTCACACAAAATAAGCATTTGAAACAAAAAGGCTTTATAACAATACAGATCAATGTATTAAATTCAACAGTTTTAATTGCGATTCAAAATTAAGTACAGTAGAAATAAATTAACTGAACTGATTCCAATACTTGTCTTACAGTACAAAGGAAAAACTCAAAAAGCAGACTGGCTTCAATAAGGTGATGCTTATTAATTAAAATAAACTTTAAGTGTTAACTAAAAAAGGAACTATTTATCTATCAAATCATGATTTCTAAATAACATCTCATTTAATTTTTATCAGCAATCAAAAATATAAAACCGTAAGAAATGAAATGAAAGGAAAAACTCCTTAAATATATAAAACATGCACAAAACCAATTCCAATCTCACTGTGATGCACATATTATTGACATATAAACACACATTTTACAATTAAAAAGGTGTATCAACCTCATAAAAATAATAATTTATACTACAGATCTTCTACTTAAGAAATATGTGAGACTCAAATATTTTTTGACAAAATTATTGCATCTATGAAACACTATTTTATAATACCATTTTCACAACTATCAATCTCATAGTTACATTACATGCACTGTGCATTACAAAAGAAATATTAATAGACAGTTGTCACTTCAATAATGCTAAGCTCACATTAACAGAGTTCACTTTTAATTGGAGTGTTCCAAAATCCAAATTATGAGAGTATTTCATTTCTGTGCTCACATTGATGTTGGAGACCAAAAATTCATTTCTCGAAGTTCTGATGGTTTTGGTTGCAGTTTTATACCTTTTTGCTTTTCGGAAGACAAAGTGCCAACAACAATTGTGGAATTCAAAGATTTTTCTGACATTGGGGGGGAGACAGGAACAGAAACAGACTTCTCAACCTTTTGAGTCTCTTTCTTGACAGCATCTAATTCGTCAGATGATTTTTCTCCTCCATGCTCTTCATGTATTGTTAGTGTTTTGGTAGATGAAAATGCATTTTCACGATTTCCCAAAAATCCAGGCCAAATCCAACTACCAAAATTTGAACCTGAATCATCGGCAGAATTACCTTTATCAGGAACCTGGAAGGTGCCAGTGAAGAATCTGTTTGGATGAGCGACTTTTCTGTGTATCCGAGGAGATGATGTGGGTGACTGAGATGGTGAACCCAAGGGGCTAGCGGGCAACGATCTGCTTCCACGTCTCTTAGCAGGGTCAAAGCCACTGGAAGGTACTGAAAGGTTGTCATTGCTACCAGCCACACTGAAACCTCTTACAACTTTGCCAGATATCATCTGCTTTGCAACATCCACAACAGATTTTCCACAAGCCCCACTGTCTCCAGCAATTTCATCATCTTGTGGTTTCACGCGAGATGATATTGGTTTTGCAAAGGAGGACCCCTTGATGTCTGAAGCAAACACAAACGCAAATTAGATAAAAATTAAATGAAAGATTCGCAAATTTTCAGAACTAAATAATAAATCAGAGAGAAATTTAAATTTTCCCTAGGTTGAAAATCGATCCTAATTACACATGAATATCACTTCTAGAAAACTATCTATTCTCTGAAGAAAATATGTTTGTTTCACACTTGCTCTAAGCAGTGAATATTATTCACACTGAATGCCCTGAAAGGCCTCTGTATCATATAAATGATAACCACAACACTAAGATATCATTCAGTTTACAATATATATTACCTGTTGTCATAGAAACTGATGGTATGAACTGACGACACGGAAGAGTATGCTGAGAGAAATCTGGAACAGCTGTAGTCAAGGCAGGTTCTTCCACAATACGCTTTGTCTCTGGTGTGCGAGCTCTAGCAGACTTTGGGTATCGAATGTAAAAGAATGTATCGTCATGAGTGGGAGGAGAAAAAGTTTCTTCAATATCATACCTATCAAACAAAATATAAAAAAGTAAATCTCACATAACAAATTATAAAAGTTCCAGTACATTTTCTTATTATGTTCTACTCATGAAATCTTCATATTACTTCTTTTGATTCTATTGCAAATTCAATAGAAAATATTTCATCAAACATTTGTTGTTTAAGGGTGAAGGTCATGAGGTTTAAGGTAACCTTTCCACAGTGACTGAACATTAATCGGTATTATGCCGCAATAATTTCAATAACAAAATCATCATCTGAATACATCCTTAATGGAAGTCCTTCATTTTAGTAAGAACAAAATTTCAATTGACAATCAAAACAGATAGCACTTCAATTATAAAGTACTAATGACTACAATGGTCACAATTACTTATCAAATTCCTCACCTATCATTTATCTTGTTTTTCATCCATTGTGGAATTGATATGCCAGAAGAAAGAGACCGATCAGGCTCTGCTGAACCCATTTTGTTATAAGATGGAAATGTAGAAATTACGATTTGATCAAATGTAGATGTTAATCAGACTAGATGGTGCATGAAGTTCTCAGGAATGTGTTGCAGGACAGCACACTAGGAGTAAGCTTCCAGCTTCCTGTTAATCTGCAGTAATTCACACAAATAAGTAAAAAGAGTTAAAAACACACACCCATGTTCATTATGCAACAATCTGAAATTTGGTTGGGCTAATACCTAGTAAACAGAGAAATACATAGATCTTTGTACTTTTAAAATTAGGTATGTTTCATAAAGAACATGGTATCAGGTCATTCCTCACATGTCACTCAATGTCACTAGGATATTATTGTTATGGTAGCATTAATTTCACAATTGCAAAGTGTATTCAAGCACTTAACATGGAAGTATAATACAACACTACGGCATGGGAAGAAAATATAAAATCTAATTTGTTTATTAATCTGGTTAAAACACACTAGTTAAAATAAACTCATCAATAATTGATAGAGAAGAATTACAGATGCAATTAGCCTAATTTAGAAACAAAAAATATTGCTTGCCACAACAAACACAAGACTATGGTATATTATTCCTTTAATTAATACATATATTATGGCTTGAATATAACCCATTAAATCTCTATATTTCACAAAACAGAACTACTATCTTCAAACAAAGGAAGAGCAGAAAATCTTAAACACTTTTGATAATATAAATTTATATTATTTATATAATTTATGTAAGTATGCAATATACTTCAAAAATATTTTAAAAAAGCATACATGATATGCTTACAATAATCAAGATAATGCATTTAATGCAGTATAGCAAATTCAAAAAGCTTTGAAAATGCAAACTGTATGAACACTGCCAAATGCACTCCAGCACACACAAGTATGAGCTTCTATTAGATCAAAACAGTTAAATAAGATAGGGAAAAGCAAAGGTACATACGATATAAAATTAGAAATTACGAGATAGAAGTTTTTTTTCGCAGTATATTCAGAATGTATTACTGCCAGGCAGAAAAGAAGCGTGAAAACCGCACAAGATATTGCTGTTGAAATTATTGTTAATGAAATGCTGCACCTTTGAAATTAAATTTTTATGCAAAATTGGGCCCGTGCATTCAATTTCGCCAAGAATTTTATTTCTGTCAATAACTTAACTGTCAAATACATGCCAAGGTAATCTTTATCGTATTTCGTAAGCAAAATTAATATATTTTTTTCGTTCACACAATGCAACCAATAACTTGTTCTATTCGTTCTTAATATATTATTACTACATCGTTTTGTATTATCTGAAAGACCTGTGCCGTTTAGTTAACACTGAGAAAACAAAAGTATTCAACACTTACTGCACTAACAGAGCTTCTTCTTCTCATGTGAACTACACAACCCATCTTCAATACACAACACGACTTTTTTTCTACGCTGAGTAAAAATCTTCCGCAAAAGACCAAACTAGAAAGCGAAAATGTTCGAGAAATGTCAATTACTTCTTTCGACGCCTCCACACCACGATTTCACAATCTTGATTTTTAACAGTATAAATATCTCACAAATGATGTCCCTTTATACAAAAATCTAATTTTCAGTACACATTCAATGATGCCTTTTGTGTAGACACAACACAGAACGATTAGTCTGCGATCCCCCCTGTTTCACGCTTCCTCACGGTTTTCACTCAACTACCCAACCAGAAGCACTCTGCAACTGCACAAGCAACAAGCAGCATTCCTGATCTCGTCTTCCTCCTTGGCACGTGGATGATACCAACATGTTCGACGAACATGCAAGGTTGCCAAATGTCCTTGATCTTGATTTTTGTCTGAAATCTGGTTTTATAAGTTATTGCGTTAATGTATTCTTACACTCGGAAAACATGAATAAATCCTTTTGTTCAATGGTTTCAACACAGAATCGTTCAAAAAATTTTTCATAATACTAGTAATGAATGGAAGTAATTAAACTCGAAAAAGAACTAATAAGTCTGCGATATACCATTCAATTATAGTAGTAATTAAAATAATATTATATTTGTCGAGCAATATTCATAAGTATTTGTTCGAAAAGAATCGTCATTATTAAAAACGAACGAAAAGGATTACATAAAATCTTCGAAATTAAACATTATAAATATTCACCAATAGTCATGTTCTTTTAAGTGTCTTGTTTTTCCTTTCTTTCAGCGTGCATATTTCTCAATTTATGCAGCTAATTTTCATTAAAAATATAAGTGGAAGTTTTATTTCTTTCAATACCTTATTTGCATTTCACCATCTTACGCATAATTTAAAAATATTGAAGTTAAATGTCTACTTTTCAGTATCTATCTTTTCAAAAACACTGTAAATAATGATTTGTTGACATTTTTACCATAGAGGAGTTCATGGATGATTTTACAATATTCTCAACATTTTCACTTCATTAATAAGGTTTAATTTAAGTGGTAATAAAGTTCATTAAAAAAATATCTTACAGTAACAACCTATTTTAAGATCATTGCAGGACTTAACTGAAGTCAAGTTTATGAATGTGAGAGACAAGGGAGAAAAATGCCAAAACTGCATTCAGTAACCTATAAAATTACCAATCCTCAAGCAGGGGTAGATCTAGAGACAAATTTTGGGAGGGGAAATTGAAAATGTTTTAGTCGAATGTCATATTACAGATTTTGTAAATTGTCACAGGCTACACTCAGCTCATGCTGTGAAACGATTTTATTCATTTTAATAATTATCCGAAAATATTTCTGCTTGAAAGTTTCAAGGCAAGTTAAAATTAATAGTACTGAAAATTTTTAGAGGGGGTTAATTTCTTCATTTCCCTTTCTGTGGATCTGTACCTGCCTAGTGTCAAAACAAGACTAGTGACAGGCAATAAGATTGGCATAACCTGGTAACTAATATTCAGCAGATATCGTTACCTGTTCTTACTGAAATTATAATTATTATTCTAATTTTGGTAGCTATAAACTAGCATTTTTTACATTTTTCATTGAAATAAAATTCTTTTATCAATTATAGAGTGGGATATTCAAAATTGCCATTCCAAGACATTATCTAACAGAAATGTACACTTCTGGCAGCTTAAAAAATCCTCATTGAAAACACTGTGTCAGGGATTGCCAAAACAATAACCAAGATTATCTTGAAAGAGCAAGTGCAGAATTCTTTTTCCTAAATTTGAATTTTTTTTTAAGTATGCATCAAGAGTAACACTTTTATTCAATTAATGGAATTAACTGCAAAAATAAAAAGAAATTTATTGTATCAATTCATGAATTGGTCTCACTTGGAATGTCTTCTGAAATAAAATATTATGTTTATTTTACATTTCTCTCCTCATGTTCTTATTCAGTAAGTAACTATTTACAAATCTTATTCTTTCACATTACAAAACTTATTCAAAAGTATAGTGCCCAGATTAAAGGGAATACAAATAATTGCTCATTAATTATAATACAACTTTTTTCTTTGTGTCTGGTTTAAAATGTAATGCACTGTTTGAATTTGTTACCTTCAAGAACTCGATACTTTTCAGGAAAACCACCCTGAATTCAAAAGTTTTATTTCAATTCTGTTCTATACTTCATCATTTCAAAATATTACTTTATAAGTTTGTAATTAAAAAAATTATTTTACTTGTACAATAATATAGTAATCCTTGAACATTGACAATGACATCAGGAGCAACATTTAAGCATGTGTGATTACGTACATATCGTGACTTGTCATACATGGCTTATGCTACATTTATGTGACATATTATTATTATTATTATTATTACAATTATTATTATTAAGTGTTTTCTACATTTGATGAACTACAAACATGGCAATACAAATCTTGAAATGTTTCAAATCCCCCTCTTCTACTGAGTTATGTAGCATATTATTTTGTGAATAGGAATTGCTGAAAATATTATAGAACTTGTTATTTCAATACCAACACTAAAAATATTGGCCTAGATCTTTTTAAGGTTTTCAATTTTTAAAGATTAGGAGCTTCGCATCTTTTTTAAATGCAATTTGTATTTATTACATAATATCCTAACCCTGCCAAAAAATAGGGGAACTCCACTGAAAAACACCTCCACACAATTAAAATATTTTGAATACCTACTACAATGTTTATACAAATAACTAGTTCATAACCCCTTTATTAATCAATCATTCATCATATAGTAAATGACCCCAGATTTGATCCTCTAATAATCCTATTGAACATGTAAAATTTGTCATTAGTTGGACAAGAAATATTAGCACTTTATCAAATATAGACAAATCTCTACTCTTACAGTAGCCTTCTTGATACCATTCATAAACTCATTTGCCTGTGATTTGGCTTAGCAATCTTCCCAATATGCTTTTCTCAGACATAAATTATCACTTTCCCCTTGCCAGAAAGAGAGAAGTGTGGAATCTTGCAATGTCATGAAAATACAACTGAAAAACTCTTACTGGCTTTCTTATAAAGCCATGTAGGCCTACTCTTCATATTATGCAACAGGTATTTCCACGAGCAGGCAAAACATTTCAGTATTACAACAGGAATTGGTGGAACAGAGAGGGCAAAATAATAACAATATTTCGTTCATTTCTTAACTACGTTATTCTTATTCCAATACCCCAGAAGACTTTAACATAATTTTGGAATACTAACTCATAATCTAGGGCCACAGTTACAATTTTGTATATTTATTATTGTACAACAAGCTATAGGTTAACTTTTCAGAATGGTGATTACAAGCATTTTTCTTGCAATGCTACAGCTTTACAACTTGAATGATTTCCTTTTGTGGGAGATTCAAATTTATAATATTGCAACAAATATTTATCTGTTACAAAGAAGTAGACCAACAAATTAAGGTTTATAACAATTATGATGGAAACTTAATGGAAAAATATATTTCTTTTTTGTTCAGGAGTTACAACAAATATTTAAAAGAGGTTTTGATTTTCCATTTTTACAGAGAATCCTATAATTCAAACAGCCTTTTGGATACTTTTAATGATAGTATTGGAGTAAAAGATGTGATAGGCTTCACTGATACCTACATCAAGCTCACCAAAGATCTCAATGTAAAACAACTTTAGTAGAGCCCTCTGCTTATCATCTTCCTCTCCTGTAAATTGAAATGTGAAATTCAGAGGTCAACTTTCAGCCTAATTTTTTCCTGATTTTCCTTGTTTCTCCCAATTGCTGATGCTGTCTTGCACATTTTTTCTAAAATATTTTTCTTGACGTGTGGTAGCCTTGCAATTTGACTTCTCTGTCACCTATTTTCACACATTAATAGTTGCTATTGTTTTGTTTCAAATCTCTGAAAAATGCAACATAAACAACACAAAACCTTTAATTATTATTGGAGTACTTCACTCGGGCATTAAATTTCTTCGCTCTATTCAATTCTGCCATGTCCTTCCTTCTTTCATTCCTTGTTTGCTTATGTTTGTGTTCTATGACATTTTCAGTTTGGAATTGTTTATAAGATGAATTCTATATACATAAACAATGCCATTTTGTCATTTCCTTCTATAAACATTCCACCCTCATGAACAAATACCATTTCTGGACCCCACCTTTTGTACTCTTCATATACATTTTGAGCAACATTGGCTACCAAAAGCAATTACAACCTGATCTAAAGGAAGAAAAACTGGAGGGCAAACCAGTCAATATGACTACACATTATCTAATATTTTTTGGTTGCAATTTCAGACTCTTAGGAAGTTACCTACCTCCAATTCTACAATATTAATGCTTTTAATTGTTGGATAAAGAAATGTCAAGCAAAGAGCGTTCAAACCAATTGTTAGGGTACTTTTATTTGATTTTAATTGTAGAACAGTAGGAAAGGCTACATGTTCTGAACACAACTTGATCTTGGGATATGATTATTTGACACACGAATTCATAGCTGGCATACTTTAAGGGAATCAGTTTCTCTAGATCAAAACCATCTCTCTGGACAGAATAAAACGAAATCAGTTTAATGAGCAGACTCAATACATCCCAGTCCACAAAACATCCCCATTACCCTACAGTTCCTTTAGAACCTACTTTATTTATTGTCGACATTGTCCTTGTTGATTTTGAAAGACTCTTTGTGAATGTATGAAAAAGTAAAAACACAAGATTAAGCATATTTTTGGAGTTACATTTACAAGGCTAAAAATCTGTATATTAATAGGAAGCATGATTACTCTATATATTAGTGAGAACAACTGGCTGAATAGTGTGACCAAAATATAGTCTTAAATTGAAGATCATGGTCCATGGTGCTACTTCAAACCCAAACAATTTAACTCTAAATATTAACATTTTTAAATTAATGTAATTTTGAAACAGCTGCAAGCACCTGGCCTGTCTGTACAGGGCTCTGTAGTGAGCAGTGCAAGCTTCCGTCCTACCCCAGGCAAGTCTGAAGTCAGATGTCAATGGGGCTGCTGGTCCTATGCATATGTGGTATGAGGTGGAGGGGGCAGGGGGTGTAGTCTTGTCTTTTGAGGCTGGGGCCCGGGATGGCAAAGTGATGCGTGGGCTGGGTGCCAACCTGGAAAGGGTTTGCATGTTGGTAGGGCAGGTAGTCAGAGGCAGATCCAGAAAGTAAATGGGTGTGTGTGTACAATTTAAGTGTGAACACCCCATTAATAACGGAAATATAATGGGAATACTGTTATGGACAAGATATCTATATATGATAAATATTTTGAATACATTGCATAAAAAAATTTACAAAGCATTGTTGTCTTGAGGTTTCTGCACCCGACCCCTCAGGATCTGCCTTAGAAGACTTCTCTGCATATTACACACCATCTAGGTCTCAGGTAGGGCAGTATTAATCTTTCCTAGTGCCTAAACCAAACACAGGTTTTCCAGCAAAATGAATATTCACCAATTGATCGATGTGTTGCCACAGCTCCTCGAATTTGATACGGATCTTTTCATTTAGGGGTACTTTACCTGATGCATATATATAATATACTAAATTTCTTTTCATGATGGTCAATTTCTTTATAACTTTTATAATTAAAAAAAATAAAGAACATTTTTTAAGAATGTGGCATATAGACTGTCGAACTACCTGGCAGCTAAATTTTTGGCAAGCTGACTGCAAAAACCTATGTTCTCTATATAATATGCCAGCCTGACCAAATACTTTACAAGGTGGAATGATTTGTGAAATAATTTGTGAGTCAATGAATTGATCCCCAAGTGAAGTAACATGTTGCTGTCTGCCAAAACACTTAAAGAGTTTGAGTTAGCAAACTTTTCACATAGGTTCTGCTAGTGTATTTCAAAATTCTGTGAAAACTGTAAAAATATATAATACATTAAAATTAAAAATGCATCATATACTTATTTTTTAATTGAGGAACTGAGTAAGAATGATATTCATTATTCTCAAGAACTAGGATAAAAAAAATAAAAGAAATGAATAAAAACATAATTGTTTTCTAATAACTTCATGTCAACCATCACCACATACAGTCTACATGTATGCAATATAAATCTCAGGAATTATTATTTTCACCACCATTGAACAATGCATACATTGTTAAACTGCAACAACAGAACAATGGATTTAACAAGAAATATATGCTGAATTACAAACATAAACATAATTAACAATAAGTAACATTATAATTCAACAAATGTAATTACATGACTTTCCTATGTTGACTTAGAAGATAATGACATGAATTATTGCATTGAAAGTGCCTCAGAAAATGCAGCGAGTCTAGAAGCCATACACTATTGTATGTAAAGTGAGTTCTATTATGTAAATAGATTTACATACACATTCTTATATTCATTTACCTAATTATCAATCCTAAATATTAGGTATTGCATATTTTCAATGTTTTGTTTGTTAACACTCAAAATTACTTGCACATTTCAAATATTCACAACCTGAATAACATCATTTGCTTTAAGGCACTGGCCTCTGCTAACTTAAAGATTCAACTGCATTTCTGTTTTTGGCATAATTTATTACTTGTGCCCTTTTATGTGATGTTTAACATGTAGCTGATTTTTCATATGTAATCTTCAATCCACACTTGGTCCTACAATGAAACATGAACCTCTGACCAGCTGCCATCAATTCATACCTTCAATTTCTCTATATTGCTACACAGCATTGCTATACATGTTTACTATCACACTACACCAGCAGCCACTTGCAGAAAACTGTTGGTATACACCAACAATCATGAAATACCAAGACATCTTGATCTGGCTCTCACTCAATCGAGACAATTCATTTAGAACAGAATTATGCAAAAATATTATCTTTCATATTATGAATATATCCTGCACATTGCACTATTAATTTAAGAAATTGTACATCTATTAATAACAAAGGTTGTAAAAACATCAAATGCTACTTGGTTATTATTATTACACCAGAGATTCAAAATTTTAAAATCTATAAGTAATAAAGTTTTATTCTATACACTTTTAGAATGTCCCAGAATCTATGCACATTTTAAAAATCATAGGAAATATATGAATATGACAATTTTATATGAATAAAGGATGGCTAGCTTTCAAAATAATTGAAAGTCAGCAATTGCTGTGGAAAAAGTTGTAACATTTGAAATAACTCACAATTTCCACTTGCAATAACACAATTTGCACACACACTCATCAGCATACTGCTTCAGTAAATATAGCAGATAATCAGTCACAAGATGCCAGATACAAGGGTAATGGTCAAATCTTTACTTCACTTTATATTTCAAGTTGGCAAATGCTGCACAGGGCTGAACCAGTTTTGCTAACCAGTTAGCATGAACTGCCTTTACAATAAAATACTCTCCTGATAAAGTTCATTTAAAATTTAATTTTATATAGACTTTGTAATATTATTGAATAAACGTTTGCCCCACCAGGACTCCAAATCAAATGGCTTGAAATCTGCAAAATAAATACAATTTTGAGACTTATTCCTACACAAACAAAACACATATATGCAATATATTTTTAAATTACTATTTCATAAAATAACATTCACAGACATATTTTCACTATCTCTTAGAGTAAAACTCACCTTGTAACACTGGACTGGGTTCACCATCATTGTGGTATACGATACATTGCTGGGAATCTGAAACAAAATAGCCAAAGCAATTATCACAATGGAAATAAAAGGAAAGAGAAGAAACATTGAATTTACAAGAAAATAGAAATTTCTTTGAAGGTAAATTTCTTATAAGGATGGTTTAATACAATATACATAATAACATCTAACATGCATTTTCTTAACAATTATGTCATGATTCACACAATATATGGTGATGCACAAAAAAGGTACATCCATGCTGAGAAACCGAAATTAAAATGGAAAACATTACTTATTTAAACAATAGTGTAATGAAAGGAAACCCTATCAGTTTCAATTACTTCGTTCATTCATATAAGAAAACAAATTTTTGACTTATTCATAAATGCCAGATTTATGTATCAAAGAACTTTCATCATCTACAAAACTTCAGTTTCAGTATGCTATGTAAAAACGTTTGGGGATTAAAGATGAAACACTTTCAGAACTTCATGAAGCACCTATCTTTCTCATTCTGGTCAGACCAAGAGAGCAAGGTTAAGGCTGCATTCCCCATGAAAATTACATAGTGGCCTGATTAATTTCATTATAAGGAAAAAAAGTTGTTCTTGACTTAATTCACTTGAAGTTTTGAGGCGACTCAGAAAAAGTGAATCAAAATTTAAATTAAGGAAAGAAATAAAATTTTTAAAAAAGCGAAAATTACAATCAGGAAATGGGATATTTATGATTGGAGTTTGAATCTTGGAAAATATATTTGACTCTATAATATTACATCAATCTTAAAATGCAAATGATAGAAATTATTACAATTAATGTGATCTTCAAACAGGTGACTGCTATTTAAATTTTTAACCAAATGAAAAGAAAATGTTTGACTTATTAAGGATATTTCTCAAACCTTCCATGATAAATCATTGTGAGCACAGGCCAGGTTTAATAATAAACCTTTCTGTAATTTATGTCTAACAGAAAATCTAATTACATATAACTTGTACTTAGAAAACTTTCATATTATCATACATTTCTTTGACAATTTGAATGGTAGGAGAGAGAATAATACAGGTTGGACTCCATAGCAAATACATAAAACAGAATGCATATTGTATCAAAAGGATTCAAAGAAAGAATAAAAGATTTGGTAATTTCATAGAGACAATCATAAGTAGTAACTCTCGCAATGATGTATCTATTGCATCAATGCAGTTGGGTGTGCTTTGTGGTGGGCAAGACAATTCAAAACAATCCTCTTATTAATGTAAAAGGCATATGATGACTGACTAGTCTGTAAGGGTCATTTATTACAACAAACATGACTGGCCTGATTGTATGGAACAAATTATGACAACAATTTCAGTGTAAATAAAAAGCCATATATGAATGTTTGTCTTTCTTTTGAAGGTCTTCCTTTTTAATTCAAAAGCTGTATACACCAGTATTGCATATCAAAGGGTAGCTACTCATTTTCTGGAGCAAATTTCCCTGACTTTCCCAATTTTCTAGTACATTTTAATGATTTGCCAGATAAGATTTATAATTTCACATTACTTAAAAAAATATTAAAGCTACCCTGATACTAATTCGTCAGCTCTTATTTCACTGTGACAAAGTATATATTAAAAACATCTCACCAGGAAATGAAATTGAACAAGATACATTGTACTTAAATTTTTAAGGAACAATACCTAGTTTTACAAGCCTCTCAAAAATTTCTCAGACTTAATGATTCTTCTACAAAATCCTGATTTTTCCACAGCAGTGAAATTCCCTGTTTTCCCATAATTTTTGACTGATCAAAAATTAGTACATCATAAATTTTACCAAAAAAGAGGCAAAATTAATTTTCCTACAAGTATATCACATTTTCAATTTAGATCGTTAATAACGACTGACAGGCATCAATTCTGACAGATTTTCACAAAAGACAAAATAAAGTTTGTGAATAGCTGCTCTCGATTGGCTATATCAATTCAATCATTGAATTCACGTCCGTGTTGCACAAAGAAGATAGGTTAGTGCACAGCTAGTACATTATTAATACATTTAAATACACCCCTGAACTAAAATTCAGAAAATGATAAATTTTTTATTATTCAATTCCTGCATAAAATTATGCTACAATTGTAATAAATTAATGACGTTTAATACACCACATCAGACGTTTTGAAAAGGGTCCTTTTCTATACTCATTTGAGAATCTCTCTTCAATAAACCATTGTGTTTCTAAGTTAATAAGTTCTTTCCGGTGATGTGACATTGGATGGAACAATTTCTGTCAGTCAGGCCTGTGGAGCATTGTTTAAAATACATTGAACGGGAAAGCAAAAATACTCACTGTGGTTATTTTCTGAAGGTTCTTGCTCGAATTCCTTGTAAACTTTATCCCAAGCTGAAATCAAATCAAATATCACCAAAAAATTAATTAATAAAATTAACCCTGTGCCAGATGTGGTCTCTTAGATCGAGTGGTTCTTCCGTTGATAGAGCAACACAGACATTTCTGACAACACCGTCGTTTTCAGAACTTTTCATTATTGTTCTCAGGTCTTATAACTACCAGTTCATGCTAATAGTGTTTATGCTGTCATCACAAGAGTAACCTCAGCCAAGCCGCATGCAGCGCAGCCTCCTACAGGTCAGAACGTGTAGTACAATTTACAAGAAACACTTTTTAATCTACATTGTGTTTTTATTATTGATGAACATTGTATTCCAATAAAGTTTTAAAGTTTCTATGTTAGTAAACGTCTTGAATGTGTGTTTGTGTCTGAAACCCTTATAGTGAGTTCGTGAAGCAATAGGTGCTAAAATTCAAATGATGCACCTGACAGATCACCGCATGTGCTCAAGTAACTTTTACTAGCGTGCGCCATAGGGTTAAAATTTAAAAGAAAAGACTTATTTCAATTTTGAATTTAAGAATTAAGTAACAAAAGTAATGAATGAAACAATTAACACTAACTTCCAATCATGAAAGAAAAAAATGGCATTTTGTCTCTTCATGAACTTTACAAACCTCAGACCATGATTTAGGCATATTTAACAGTTCTGTTGAAGTGTAAGACCAAAATTATTATGCATTTGTTCTGACACACTGTGATTACTTACATTCATAAATGAAGTTGATGAGTTCAGCATGTTGAGGACTTATTGTCTCTTGTTGGACTCTCTGGTTACTAGATCTTTTCCCATTTACACAATGGAAAACAGGCTTTGGCACACTACAAACATTTTCAAAAAATTAACAACCACTTTAATAAACTACACTTTAGAATGTTTAATTATTGATAGTGGAAAACCACCAACAAATACTTCCATATAATATCATTTCTTTATCAATAATGAACACAACGAGAGACTAATAGCACAAAATTTATTTTATATATATGTATATATATAGATATTCTCATATATGGAAAATATTGCTACTGCACGAATGACAATTTTCCTACATCTTTCTTAGTAATTAATATTAATATTTAAGAAAAATATTACAGCAGGAGCTCAAAGAAACTTAATTCAGCATACCACAGATTCAATTTCCGAAGGAAGAGTTCATTTGCATCAAAAAGATTAAAGCATCATTAATCTCTTCAGTCCAGCCAGTTAGACAAAATACAATAAGAGAGCACGATACTTGCTCCCTAATCAAATCTTAAAAAACGTCTTGAAGTATAAAAATACAAAGGACATATTAAAATGTTACAGTGTCTTAAAATGAAGAGACTGCACAAATCGTGAACAATTTCTATTTTTCTTTTACGGGTGCAGGCAGCGTTTCATGCACTTCTATATTGTATTGATATTAGAAAAGTTATTGATGTTCCTTTTCCTTCACATCACTGCACCCTACTATCACATTTTTATGTACGGCAATGATGCTAGAACATGATAGCAAAGCATGTACCTCAACAAATACATCCAACCAAGCTTCTACTGTAACATTTTAAAATATATTTTAAAGACTATTACAATTTTCTTAACATAACATAGATTTCAATGTTGATACAAGGTAATTATTTGGTAGCTAATAGAAAAAATGATCATGTATTAATTTTCTTTAAATGACATGATTTACTGAATATCTTAGGTGTGCTACTACTTGAATTTTTTATAGTATAATGAGTATATGAGAGTATTATAACAAATACAATTGATATATAGAATTACAGCAATCAGTTACATTGCCTGTTTATTAACACTAATATAATAAAACTTACGGAATGTGCCAATGCCTTGGAATGCAAGGGTGAGAGAATGAACACACGGGTTTGTGAAGAAGCAAATATACAGTGAGAACTTATCACACGAAACATCTAACAATATTTCAAATATCTGCATTAACATTTAAAATTCAAGAAACAATAATACGTTTTTAAGAAATCGTCACATTTGTAGAAACAACACAATTAACTTGCAGCATTATTTTGTAAAAATGAAACTAAGAATTGGCAACATTTCAATATTTCCTTAATATGCTAAATAAATTAGTAACAAAAATAAAAAAAGACATTCATTTTGCATCCTTATTTACAACCACAAAGATTTGAAAGTGTCATCATATACTAATATTCAAAGAAATTGAAATAGAAAACTCATGTAATATCTTATTACAAATTTAAGTCTATTTTAAATAAAATGTAATTGAAAATCTTTACAATAAAGTTATCAAAGTAAATGATGGCATGCAATTTTTTAAAAACAATTTCATAACATTAAAGGAAAAAGAGAGAATAAACAACAAACACCAAGGGAAGATAACTTTTTGACTTAATAACAAATAATTCTCCACATAAATGGGTGTGATTGATCATTAAATTTAAATGTATGGTTTTATAATGATGATTCAGCTTTTTACGCTCAACGTGGGAGAACAGTTGGAATTTCGTCAGCTTACATAACCAACAATACGGATCAGTATTAAGTAATATACTTACTTCACAACCTGGGTAGTTTCAACATCTAATGGCCTTTTCGTTTCGCGTAAATTTTCCATTCTTTCCAAATTCTGAGAGTGTGATATTCCTAAAAAAACAATTTAACATAGAACTTTTGTAACCAATAACGATCGTACATATATTGGAATTTCTAACGAGTATTCCAACTTTTCTCAATGCATTACCTCTTCTCGTTTTGGCAACGATTTTACTAGGCCCTTTTGAAACAGTATACATTTTGTAATAGCAGCACAATATACACTTTCACACAACCCAATCCCACTGCCCCCCTAACTTGCTGCCTCGGAGACCAAAATCCGTCCGAGTTCGTGATTTGCGTTGAGCGGCGTTGATGAACGACTCATTTACAGAACTCTTGAATTATGATACTTCTGCTCTTCCATTTCTAGAAGGAATGAATAGAAATAAAATCATATTGTTAATAAATTAAAATTTACGAACTAGGTCACAGGAATAACGTAATGATGATAAAACAATAGGCAAAACTGACTAACAATACAATAACTGAATTAATATTAAAGGAAGCACTCACTTATTTCAGTATCAATAAAATGAAAGCATATCTATAGTAGTATGTAGCAAAACTATTATTGGTTAAATTTTAAATCAAATTCAATTTGGAGTCGCTCTCGACTGATTTAACAGTACATTAATACATGTTTTTCATTATTGATTCGAACATATACTAGCATTGCAGAAAGAAAATTTAGTAATATACATTTCCAAAGTATTAGTTCAATCATTACAAACATGTTTTATTTTGATGAGTGTGCAGACAAATTACATTAAAAAAGTTTGTAGTGAAAGTTGCTTTTGATTGATTTTAATGTGGAAGTAACTTCCTTCATTTTTAAATTGAAGAGGAAAAAACTGACTCACTAGTTGAGTTGACTCCCACGTCAATGACTAATCATTATTGTTGACGCTTTGGCGTAATTAAAGGAAACTTTCATGTCGAAAGAATTTGTATTTGTTTTTATTTCCGAAGCAACAAAGGAGATCAAGAAAAACTATTTCGCATTGGGCGGGCACTTTTAGAATAGGAACTTCCGAAGGTTGGGCATTTAACACATACTACGTAATAAGTGTATCAAAACTCTCATCTATATTTTTATTTTGAGAGGTAGAATTTCAATCGTTGCCTAATATAACTTTTATGTTTACAACAAAATATGTAACTGTGTTCAGGAACACAAAAAAATTAAATGCAGCTAACAAAGGACTAATTAATGAAATCACATGAACGAGTCGATATTCTTAGCTTAGCTAAGATGGCGTAGTCTCAGCCGAACAAAACCTTACTCGAATAAAACCATACGAAGGGGAGTCAAAAAGTTTCCAGAATTGGCGCCTACAGCTTTGCCCTACAAGATTCAAAACACTGATTTCAATTGTTGACGTCGGAGAGACACCTGAGAAACCGCTGAGCTGCCAGGACGCGTGTGTCGACTTGTCAGCGAGCTGTGCCGCTCGCGTCCAACTTTGAAACAGTTTTGGGTTCGTCGCATTTCAAAATGACGGCCATCAAGTAGCATGGGAACTTCGGATTTTGTGTTCTTCTAAACAAATCATCTGAAACTCTTAAGATGTTGTTACGGTAACCTTCGGGAGAGATGTGTGACAAATTGTAAGTGAACAAGTGGCACAAGCATTTTCGAACTCAGAAGAGTATTTCGGGAAGGTGAAACGCTTTCATAAGTCGAAGGGCGCTGCAACTGAAGATAACCCGCGGAACGGCGGCCCGTTCACTTCCGTCATAGATGGAAATCGAGATTGTTCGACGTATTAGCCGTGCGAACAGAAGAATGACCATTGACGAAATGTCCATTTCAGATGACTGACCTTCTACGTGGAAATTCTTCGCCGCCTACCCTTCTTTAGCCGCCTAAGAGATGCAATCAGGAAGGAAAAGATTGGGTCCTACTCCATGACAATGCCCCAGCCCATAGGTGACTGGTGAAAATTTACCTCACCAATTATAACATAACCACAACTGAACACGCTTCCTACGCCAATTTCTACCTGTTCCCCTCGCTAAAAATGAAAATGAAAGGACAACGATTCGCTTATTCTCAAGAGATGATGGAAATGCGACCAGGCGGCTCATGGAGATTTCGAGAAATGGCTTTCAGGACTGTTTCCAATAATTATACAAACGTTGGGGAAAGTGTTTAAATGTAGGAGGGGAGTATTTGGAAGGTAAATGAATTTAATTTACTGTACCTTTAATAAATAAAAAAACATTTTGACCAATTCCGGGAACTTATTGACTCTACCTCGTACAAAATGATTTTTTAAAAAGAAGCACTCACACTGCTAAAGAACAGCAAATAAAATCCTATCGTATAAGACTGAAACAAATTAAATATTTTGTGAAAAACTGCATGTGACAGTCATTTTCTCGTCGATTGCTTTTTCAATCTACGCGCTAAGGTTTGAATTGCGCATTTTGATTGGTGGTCCTTGAATTTGCCTTATTCCCATTCTTCAAATTTCTCCGCATTTTCACTCGAGAGGTTCGCGCGCGGGTGCAGTGCCTCTAGCCGTAGAGGGAGGCGCCGAACCATCACTCTGCCTATCTCTCACCTCGACCCACGGCACCCCTGGCCCGCTACAACGTGCAATCCCGCAACTCCCAGCGGACACCAATCCGCGACGAGCCCAGCGGCCAGGGGAGACAGTCTTCCCCGCCCCGTGCAGCCGGCAGCACCACCCCGGCGACGATATATACTCTCTGGCCCCGGCGACGAGCGCGCCATCGGCTCCAGCGGCGTTGTAGCGAAAACTGGCCAGGCCGCTCACTCACCGGCTGGCCCGTCGCGACCCCCCAGGACCACCTGTAATGAGCGTCTGTGTTGCGCTGAATTCGCAGGGTCTTACCTGTGATGTACATGAGGTTTGTTCCCCAGGAGTCGCGCCTTCCCCCTTCCACTGGCCCTCGTCCCGACGGACTCAGCTCATGGGGAATCACGTTGGAAACAGGGGGAGCTGGGGCCACATCTAGAATCGCCCTCTGCTCCCCTGCCACGTCCACATCCGACGCCATTCATGATAGGTAGCGATCTCTCTATCGTTCATTGTCGAGAGATAACGATGCCCACAGTAAAAGTAATCTCGCACCGCCACGGAGTTGAGAGGAATCAACTTTGTCTTCGTCGACGGAATTATTATGCCGGCGTCGATTCTCATCTTGTGCGACGCTGGATACCCCCAGCCGCTTAAAGTCAAGACAACCTTCAAGGACCAGGCTCCTGCAGAGTCGATATGCAGTCGAGTCGTAGTATTGCTGAAATCATTTTGAAATCAAGAAGCGCCCGCCTAGCGCTCTCTCAGCGCGTCGCATTGCAAGCCCGGACGAGACGGTACAGAGTGTGAAGCGCGTGTCATGAAGCGCTTGTAAAGCGGAGCAGCCGTGTTTCACTATTTGCGAAGAAGAGTCTGCCGGAGTGGTCAGGCCATAACGCACTGTCACTGCAGTGCTTCTAACTGAGAGGTCCTATCGTTCCGAGATCCGACGGTGGCAGGATGTTTGAGACCTAGCTAGATAGTCAAATTCAGTCACTGTCGTGGGGGCCGAGAAATTTATAGCGCACGGCACCACTCTGACACGCGAAGTGTTTCCGTGTTTCTTCGATCAAGTACCAGGAGAATGACGGAGAAGCCACGTAACCTTAAGAAATGAACCATGACCCGGCGGATTTTCACATCCTTGTTGCTATCCTCACTCTTTAAATATATTACAAACTTTTGATGTATACCCATCCAGTTGGGATAAGCATATTTTCGTTAAAAGCGTTGTTTTCCAGAGGTTTGCAAAAAACTAGGCACAAATGTTTTTTCAGCAAAAATTCAATGTTAGAGAAGTGCCATTTTAATCTGTTCTTTAACACAAAAGTCTGCTAATATTCGCAATCAAAGGGTAATATACATGTAATCTCCCTTGTACAAATCTCCAGTGTTCTAGCTGCCAATAGTTACGAGCCAGTTGAAATTTGACTATTTTTTTTCAAAATGTCGAATCCCTCAGAAACACAAGTTCAGAAAAACGCATCTCACAACTCATATGTGGCATTTCTGAATCTACCAAAAAGTTGAAACAAGATCTGCCTATACATTTTTATGTATGTTTCATGTTTGAGAATATGGGCGGATCTTGTTTTATGCTCTTAAAAACTTAAAAAAGATCAACACAATCGACCTCTAAAGAAATGTTGGTGATTTCTCAGAATGAGCCGGATTCTGTTGAAAAACCTGTCCTAGCACGACAGACTTCATGGCCGTAAAAACGGTGGTCATAAGGCATATTTCCAAATTTAAAAATTTGTTTCCAGAAACACGACAATTATGCCACAAACTTATTTTAAAATAAAGCAATAGCTAAGGAAATTGCGAATTCTAAATCAAGTTATGTTATAACAAGAATTACATTTTATGTATATTCATCGTATATGTATAATGATAGCGTCACATATAATTCTACTGTGTAAATTCACACGCCTCCAGCTTTATTAGTTTAGGAGATTTAATTTGACTCTTAACTGCAAATACTACGAAACTCGAAAAAAAGAAGCCTTATAAAGAAATGCACCTACAGGACGTTTATTCATCGAATATGACAAATGTTGAACATTTTTTCTACACACTATGAATTTTGAAACAAAGATAGTGGCCTCTAGAATTGCTTGGTTGCGAGAATATGCTGTTTCTTTTGTGTTAAGAAATTAGAAGTTTGTCGATAGTGGTATGTATAAGATGATGATTATACCGCATTTCTGTTATATCAACGCATCTCAGTCGATGAGCCTCACAACGAAGCGCGCATGCAGTGATGGGCGCTGCCAACATTGGGCACATATTTTCTTATCAATTATTTCTAAAAGCTGCATTTTTTGCCATAAATGGAACTTTTTTCAGTTTGCATTGTATGTGCTTATATGAAAGATATTTTAAGGCATTCTTTAAGGAACTACATTGCTTGTTTTGAATACATATTCCAAGAAGTTTCTAAGGTATTTTAAGTTCATTCTTAAATGTTTTATTTTCTTTTAAATGAAGACTTACAACCAAAAAAACCATAATCAGTGTCTTTATAATTCATTAAGAAATTCAACAGTTATAGAAGCTCCGGAGAGCAGTGAAGCAGAAAGCGCGCTAAAACGTTTCATCTTTGCTGCTAAGTTTCTACGTTAGTTTTTTGAAGAAAAAGAAAATGAAATAGTAAATTAACGAAAACTATTACAAACATTTTTTTTCAGTACATCATACAGACAAGCAAGGATAATTTCAAAAATAAATGGACATCCAGAAATAAATGCCATCGAATATATCCCATTATAAATGTTATTATGAATGTCATTACGAATATATCCTATCACGAATGTTAATGATAACATTGTTGCTTGTGTTACATGCGTGAACATGAAATTATAACTACATTGACATGAGATGTACCTGAGGAAGCGATGAATCATATTGCGAAACGTAGTTCATGTAGCAAAATCATTTTAAAGGAATCGAAATACTGTTTTCAAGTGACGTGTTTCTGATTTTATGTATCCAATGATTATTTCTAATTAAAAGATACGAAAATGTCTCAGGGGCTAGATGTAAAGTACCCCTAAAAATTAAAATAACGGTTTTAAATTCCAGGAACCGCGACATCAGCTAGAACGATTGGGGAATAGCAAGTTTGGAGAAAATCGGCTGAACGGTTTATGACCTAGCGTTGTGCACAGACGGACGGACACGTGCACAGACGGACGGGTGGTTTCCGTTCACTACTAGTTTATTTCAACATTGAAATATGAATTGCAAAAATATGTATGAATTGCCATGATAAAAACAAGGATTAAGCTTTTCTTAGAGCCCCAAAACAAGCAATCTCCCTACAACACATTGGTAAAAAATGCAACAAAATGTGACTCAATATCCAAGAGTCTCCAATAATGCCTTACGCGTGTTTCGAAACCATAGTCGTGGATGTGCGTAAATCTGTCCCGAATATATGTGCCACGAAGCTTTGTGACTATCTTACTCTTCGTAAATGTGTTACGGTTGTAGCATTATCCATACTCGCTATTCGACCATATTACATTTATGAGTGCTCGTACAATATATTTAATGATGTAAAATATGTTCATGTGTATGCTTATTAATTTTTACTTAAAATATTACGATATTTAATCTCTACAAAAATAAAGATTTAATTAAACACATCCACTCTTTTCCAAATTTGACCTTGACCTCAGCGGCGGCCTCAAGGGGGATGGTGAAATACGGCGCTGACCTACACGTCAGCTTGCGGTGGATTTCTCCCGGAAGTTATCTCCAGCGGGGCACCGCCCCAGCCAGGACAAGCTGAAAGTTCCTGGCTGGTCTCCCGGCATGTGTGGTGTGTAAGTGTGGAGGTCAGAGTATATGACAAGGAAGAGGAAGAAGTGATCGCGCTCGGATTGTGGCCTGATAATCAGGGTATTGCATCGGCATTCGCGTGTTATTGGTGGGAGTAAACACGAAAACTACCGATCAGATCATTTCTAGAAAATTTCTCAAATTTCCCACCAGACAGCGGCCTACCAATCTAGCTGATGTGAAAAAAAACGGTACCGTCGGGTCCCGAACCTAGGATTCCTGATCAGTGTTCCTGCTGAGACAGCGTCAATGCCCGTTAATTGAGTTACACACATTTGGTGCGTGGAAAAAGATTTCGCATCTCTACATCGTGCAATCCAGACGAATCTTGTGAAATTATTATATAAACTTTTATGTTATCCGCTGCTATTAACATTTTCAGCGTGATTGTTGCCTAAACGGTTCCAAGTTCGTGGATTAACCAGCGTTTTCCGTTTCGTTTTCTCAGAGTCGAATCCAATACGGAGGCTGGGCGCCTCCAGTCACGATCGCTCCGCCCCAGATCGCGAACCCAATTTACACCGGCGCACGCGGGGGAGGTGCCGCGAATAAATTGGCTGTCAGGCCGAGTTGCACCGAATTAACGAATTTATTCCCAGGTGCGAGTTATCCGCCTTTTCGGGAGCGGCTTTCGAAACGCCCTCCCAAAAAACTGAAGGTCGGTTGATGAGCACGTATTACAGAGCGCGTGTCATAAGAATTTCTCGGCGAGAACTGTAGGCTACCCAAAAGACTGAGGGAGATTTAGCTATAGCATGAGAAACACAAAGTTTTTCTGTGTTGCCGACACGGCTGTCTGACCGCAACCACCAGCCCCTAAAAGCGATAATATTTTCTCAAAATTGGAGAGCTGGTACATGTCATTAGACTATACCAAGCAATGTCAAACTGCGTCCACGCGAGCTTCTTGCTCGCCTGAACTGCCCGGCGCACCTACAGGCAAAGGGAAAATACCCCTGCCTCCGCATTCATTTCCTCTCCAAATCCAGAAAGGGGTGTTGACGCGCAATTTGTTGCGGAAAAGATAAGTATAAAGCGTGTTTACTACGGCTTGGATAATTATGTGCTAAAAATTGGGAAAATATGTACACATAAATGTATTATAATACACAGAAATATGTACTAAAAAGTACGACATATGTATCATTAAATCAATTCTTTTTTATTAAAATTCTTCTACCTTTGTGTATATTGTTCTGTTTCACAATATAAGGACCAAAATTAAACATTACTCTTCCAAATCCTATTATTTACAACTATTTCCGTAAAAATAGAAACAAATATCTGTTTCAACTTTTCAGCAATGAAATGTTTCCTATTATCTTGTAAGAGCGCCTTGTACTGACTAAAAGAGCATTGTACATCGTACGAGGCATTAGTGGGTATTTAAACTTGCACATCCTCTGGCGTGTGGTCAATATTAAGTGTAACGGAATGGTCTCCTTAATGCACTTGCACTAATAGCACAAATTGTTTTTAATCCGTTCCGTGTTCCTCTTTTAACAGGCAGGAATATTTGTGTTAAACCTTCTAAACCGAGCGTAAGACGTTACAAATGTACTTGCTGCACTTTCACGTAAATGCGATTACAAAATCAAAATTCATTCGATTAAAAAAAGTTTAATATTTCTCTGA